AACTTTTCCCCCACTCCGGTAGGGGGCACAGTCTCCTTTCGCTCCTACACTTGAGGTCTTCAACTCCTGCCTGGTATTCCAACAACCACACCCACCTCTCCCTCTGGCCTCCCCAGGGCTTTCTAAAGATGAGAATTTAGCTTTGCTTCCCAGAAAACGGAGCACGTGACTCCACTTTCAGCCTATGCCCAAGAGGCACTGGGGGACACAGAGAACACTCACCGCCACCACATCACGCAAAGAGCAAACTGCTTTAAGGCACCTGTCCAGTCCCTCAGCATTATGGGACCAAACGGATCATTAAGCCACTTGTGCTCTGTGATCACAGAGTGCAGAGTGGACAAAAACCTGAGCAATTCTCGGGTGGTGAGCCATGAATGGAGAAATAAAATAATTACCAAGATGCATGCCAAGCTGCGTAACTAGACAAATATCAGCAAATTCTTAATTCTTATAAAAACTTTCTAAGGCAGATTCACTGGTCCCATGTTACCAGCCAGGAAATTTAGGCTTAGAGGCAGTAAATAATTTGTCCCAAATCACACAGTCATCAAGGCTCTGAAAGAGGGCAAAAGCCAACCACAATCACATCTTCCTGAAAGCTCTCCTCTGCTAGTTTGCCTCAAACTTCTCCAGATCACAGTCTCCAGAATAGAATACAATTATATAGGCAAGCCACCGCACCACTTTCCCTGCCCCCAGTGGAATGTTACTTTTTAGTAAAAGTTTATTTATTAAAGCCAGAGGAGGTGGCTCAAGCTGTAATCCTAGATACCTAGGAGGGAGAGATCATGATTCAAGACCAACCAGGGCATATAAGTTCACCAGACTCCATTTTAACCAAGGCTAGCTATTGCTAGTTTATTTCTTAGACATAATACAAAAGAAGTCTGGGTTGAAAAGTCTGGTGATAGAAGTAAGGTGATACATAATTATATATGAGTTGAGCTTTTTCTTCAACCAGAACAGATATGTCTAAAAAGCAATTTTAAATGTTCCACTATACCTGTTAGGTCATATTCGGTGCATTTTTTGTGTATGTATCTATTTGTTGGTACTGAAGTCTGAACTCAATGCCTTAAGCTTGCTAGATAGGTGCTCTGCCATTTGAAACCCACCTCAAATCCTCTTAAGTTCTTTTTCAGACAGAATCTCACCTTTTTTGCTGTTGTTGTTGTTAGTCATAAGGCCTGAACTCTGGGCCTGGGCGCTGTCCCTCAGCTTTTCAGCTCAAAGTTAGCGCTCTACCGCTTAAGCCACAGTGCCACTTCCCTCTTTTTCTGCTTATGTGGTGCTGAGGAATCGAACCCAGGGCCTCATGCATGCAAAGCAAGCGCTCTACCACTGAGCCACCTTCCCAGCCCCGAGAATCTCACTTATTTATTTATTTATGGCTTAGGGCTAGCCTCCTAACTGATTCCCAAGTAGCTGGGATCATAGGGGTATGCCACCATACTCAGCTTAGTGACTCAGAAAGGGATCTTGCTAACCTTTTGCCCAGGCTGGTCCTTCCTATCTCAGCCCTCCAGAGCAGCTGGGATTAAGAGACCAGAGTCATGGCACGCAGCTTATGTGGTTGGTGCATATTTGCTTTCTGTGGCTAACTCAGCCTCTAAGGAGTAACGGTTGTATGCGTGTTGTGTGACAATGGGAAATAATGTCAACCTCCCCAGGATGAGAAAGAAGGGGGGAAGGGGGGATGTCAGAAACAACGCAGGCCTCAAAGAAATCTCCACACAGCAGGGTGGCACCATACAGAACATCGTGTGTCCAGTGATGGCAAATAGTGTTTACAGAGAGATGAGAGGCCGGCATGCACAGAGGGAAAGGCAGCAGCATCTACCAATCAGAGAGAGGTAGGGGATGGACCAAGCAGATGTGACTCAAAAAGGGCATCTTCCAACAGATCAAGGAGAGTGCTATGGGTTGTTTTTTTTTTAATCCACTTTATGCAAACTACCTAGCCGCTTAGATCACAACTAACCATACAACTGGGCTTCTGGAAATGGACAAAGGGAGAACTGAGAGAGCTTCTGTAGAAAGGCAAAGGAGCTGGGGGAAAAAGGAGAAGAAGAAGGAGAAGATAAAAATGTTACCAGTGGTAGCTGAAAATTCTCATACTGTCAGTTTTTCCTTCTTTTCTAATACTTTCTTTTTTAAATCTTCACATGAAAATTGTTTTACACTGTTTTTCAAAATGCTCTTTAAGAGAGTAAAGTTCTTTTTAAGTATCGCATGTTAATAGTGTGTGCTTGCAAATAGGACTGGATATTTAAGAAGCACAGAGAAAATAAATATCCAAACTCTCGTTTCTTACAGAAATATCAAGTACATTATTTACTAGACACACACTCTATATTAAGACAGGGTGGAGGATGGCAGAAAATAAATAAAGCACAGACTTTTACATGTGTGTATGTGTTGTTGCTACTGTACTTGGGTTTGAGCTCAAGGCTTCACACTTGCTAGGCAGGCACTCAACCACTTGAAGCAATATACCATACCTTTTTGCAACTATTTTTTGCAGGGATGGTACTGGGGTTTTTAATTCAGTACCTCAAAATTGCTAGGCAGGTGCTCTAACAACTATCTAATGGAAAAGAGAGATGTTTGCATATTGTGACATAATACAGATAATCTAATCCACTTACTCTAACATTTATTTTGATGTATGAGGAACATAATTTTAAAAAAGGCATCTAGCTGGGTGCCAGGGGCTCATGTATGTAATCCTAACTCCTTTGATTGTTGAAAAGAGGAGATCAGCAGTTTTAGGCCAGCCCATGCAGAAAAGATGGAAGACTTCTTCTGCACAGAAAAAAGCTGGACATGCACCTGTAATACCACTCATAATAGAAAGTAGGTGATTCAGGGTCAGGCATGTGCCCAGGTTGGAAGGGAGACCTTATTCTAAATACTAAAAGTGGAAATCAAGGTTGGAGGCATGGTTCAGAGGTACTGTACCAGGCTAGCAACTCAAACCCCAGTACTTAAAAAGAAAAAAAAGTTCCAGTGTCTCATATTTGTAAATCATAACTATTTAGGAGGTGGAGATTAGAGGATCACGGTTTGAAGAAGCCAGCCTTGACAGATAAGTCTGAATATTGTATTGCAAGTTAACCAGCAAAATGCCAGGCTGGAGAGATGGCTCAAGTGGTAGAGCCAACCAAGACAAGCCAATCAAAACTCAAGGCCCTTGAATTCAAGCCTTGATACCTGGATCCACAAGGTGAAAGCAACGGTTCGTACGACAGTCTTCGGATCTACTGCACTGAACCAGAGTGTGGGATAAAGCATTCATAAACTTGAAGGCACAAAAGCAATAAAGACACCACAAAATCAGACACTGACATAGAATCTGACCACTGGACAGACCAAGGCCCAGACTAAAATACCAAAATCATTTCTCATTTGAAAACGACAATTTATTTGGCTAACAAACATAAAAGTAACCATAACAGTAGATTCTAGGTTAAGTGTGAGGATAGGAAGGAGTTACTAGGAAGTTCTACTAAAGGCTACCGTTAAGGCAGGAATATATAAAAACAAGCAGTGTAGGTGTGAAATAAAAAGATCTATGTATTAAACTGCATTCACTTTTCAATCAATAATGCAATCTCTGCCCTTCCCCACCAGGATCCAAATGAAGTAAGAAATTAATATTGTATTCATACAGTACCTGCCAAGAAAACATTGAAACATGTGCCTATACGCGTTCAAGCTCTGAAACAGCTTAAGGAGCTACAATCATAAAACTTCAAAACAGAGTGGTGAGGTCCACTCTGATTTATAGAGAAAGCCAGAAATTTCCCTGAGGCCACAGAGGTAGCATGTTCTGCTGTAAAACCAGAGCCAGTGCAGCTACCACAGCTGGGCAGATGTGGAGGGAAGGGAGTGAGGCTTCAGGCTGACACCCACCAACACATGCACCACCATCAACCTCCACACCGTCGTTCATTACAATACTAAAACATTACACCAAGCAGGAAGTGCCAAGTCCTACAGCTAATGGCTTAAAGGAGAATGGATTCTGGAAATCACAACCAAAAAGCTGGAACGCTTTGGACCCATCTGTGTAGTTACTAGTTACAGCTCTTGAGACCACAAAGTTTATTGGTACCAAGGGATTTTAGCAGTTTCTTTTAGGAAGGAAAAGAGAAAGAACCTCATTTCCCAGGCATGTAGGGGGAGAAAGTTACAAATTTCATCTAAAAACTCTCTTCCCTAAACTCCTGTTTTTATTCTCTTCTCCTTGGGCCAAGCCAAAGACTGTCAACACCACACTAATGTGACTTATTCTCCCCTACTTACGTAGAAAAGGTTCAGGAAAGAGTGCTAGAAACTTGGATCATTCCAAAGCTCAGACCATAAACTTCAGAAGCTGCTAAATATACCCCAGGCTCCTGTGGCAAAGTTGCGCTATTATTCCCGGAAATCCTGGCTAAATCGCAGACCCTTGAGTGAAAGGCTAGGGGTTTCTTTTCTCTGAATATTCTAGCACAATACAAAACAATACACTATATAGAACAACAATGGCACATAGAAGCTCAGTAAATCTTTCTCAAATGGAAGGAAATTTCATCTCAATCCCATTCTTCCTAATTTCAACAGCACCCTGATGTCTCTCATGTTAAGCCTAGAATGTCACACTCTGGCATAAGGCAGAGATATCCAGCGAAGTGAACCACCCTCCCAACAGCGATCAGACCCCTCAAATCCTGGTAAATACGGTAAATACGATGCTCGTTTATAGTTATTTATTTAAACTCTACATGGAAAGGTCTAGCCAAGAAGATTACTCGTGGTTTTACTACCCGATCCAGGTGCTTTTGTTTTTCTGTTTTCAATTTCATCTCCCCAAAGGGGACGAGGCACATTGCAAACACACAACAACAGATGGCTGCCCCCAGCATCTCCATCGAAGCTGCCAAGAGTGAATAAAGCGTACCCAGACGTGGCAGTGTGTTCTGCTGACAAGGGTGTGCAAATGAAACACAAACCTTTACTGCTCCAAGTTGCTCTTTTCTGAATTTTTCCAAGGGTTTAATCAGGGTTTCCGTTACACTTAACGCCTAGAGAACGAGAGTGACAACAGAGAGCACAGCGTTAGGATTCCAGAAAAGGAAAAAAGAAAAAAAAATAATAAGCACCTCATTTTCCTCTCCCACCCCCACCCAGAAATAAAACGAACAACAGATTTATCTCTCCTTGCCAATGCACCAATTAAAACACTTCACTGCTTACTAAAGCTCTAGAACTTGGTAAATATTTTGGAGGAAGAGGAGGCGGGGCAGCTGGCCAAGGCACCACAGCCAGCTCCCCTGTGAAAGAGCACTGGGGTTGTCTTTAAGCAACAAAGGGTCTATCACATTCACCAACAGAACACTTCTGTTTGGGGCCTTTTTGTTCCACCTCCTCCTCAGACATTTAAAAGTCAATTACATTCCTTTATTGGTAATCAGACTACATTAAGAAAAAGACTAGGATTGTGGTTACCCTTTTAAACTAAGGACTTTGCCCCTCCATGCGGCAAATTCCTCCTAAGGATATAAGGTACAAAAGCAAGGAAAGGTCAGTCACTGGAAGCTCCAAAGTACTAGGGTGTGCTGGCAAAGACCACAGCATGGAGGGGAGACAGGACAGGGTCTCTGGCAAATTTCAACCACAACTGTGTTTACTACATACACTGGAAATCTTCTGCCAGATGCCAATAGTTCACATCTGTAATCCTAGCTATTCAGGAGGCTGAGCTCTGAGGATCATGATTCAAAACCAGCCCAGACAGAAAATCCATGAGACTCTTATCAATTATTAACCACCAAAAACCTAGACATGAAGCTCAGGGACAATGTCCATACCCTAAGTTCAGGCACCAGAACCTCACAGAAGGAAAAAAATAAAATAAAAAGGAGATTAACACTAGGCAAAGCTTTCTCAGCTTTGATTTGCAAGGGATCCGAAATATGCAGATTTGTGTGGGTGGGGCTCAAAATATAAGAATGTATATTCCATTTTTTTTAACAAAGCCTTCAGAATAGCTCCTCTCCCCCTTAAAGTCTAAGCTTAAAAGTAGAAGGAAAAAAAAAAGGTTAGACGATTCAGAAAGAAATACGCTAGGATCAACTCCAGGCTTCCCCTCCTTGTAGGCAAGTGCACTACCAGCAAGCTGTATCCCAACCCTTAGGAAAGGATGCTTAATTAAACCAAATGATTCCTTACCATGTGTCACTCTAACAGGCATTGCTCACACTGTAAAGCAGTGAACACTGAAAATAAGCGACTGTGCCTGTGGGCAAGATGCTTGGAGTTTGCACCCCCTTCCCGCAGGGCCACTTGGAAAACGTGTTATTCAGCTGAGGCCACAGTAACAAGTAGACAGAGGAAAGGGATCACGTTCAAACTATGCTCATTTTATCCTCTCTACTCCCTGTGAGACCGCATGACCTACAGTAGCAAACCAGAGTCTCACATACTACAGAACAGGGCAGGACACCCCAACAACACAAGGTCTCGTACATGAAGACAAGCATGTGTCATCTCCAAACCTTCTAGATGTGGCTCTAGCCTACTCCTGTTAGCAAACACACCGACACGTGAACATCTTCCAGAGAGGTTGGGAGCTCAGAAATAAAGTTGGCTCAGTGTGACTCCCAGGCACAAAGGAGGCTGATAGCTGCTCCAAGTCACCGAATACAGGGTCAAGGACTCAAAAAAGCCACACAAGTCTGGGACCATGTTTAAGCACCATACATGGTACACAGCAATGAAAGTGCCAAAGGGTATTTCGCTATTCAAAACAGCTCTTAACAAGCTCTGTTTTAAGAGATAAGTGTTGGCAAGCATCTGAAGTGCCAGGTGATGAGGAAATGAGAACATAACAGAACCCAGCCACCTCCCCTCACGGACCTTACTGTTAGTAGCAGAAACACAGTGGGCATTTCTAATACCACCTCCAGAAAGGAAAGGTAGGGCTCCGGGGAGGAATTTTGTGAGAGCAGGCAGGAGGAGGAACATGCTCAATAAGAACTGCATCAAAGCACTGATGGAGAACCAAAAAAGGAGAAGCTCCGGGGAAGGTAGTACTAAAGCCAGGAGACGCTGTCTCCAGCCTGACAGCAGAGGCAAAGAAACAAAGTGAGAGGAATTCATTATAGCAAACATCAAATCGAAATACAGCTGGGAGCCGGGTGCAGGCGGCTCACGCCTGTAATCCTAGCTACTCAGGAAGCTGAGATCTGAGAATTGTGGTTCAAAGCCAGCCCAGGTAGGAATGTCCGTGAGACTCTTATCTCCAAAAAACGGAAGTGGCACTGTGGCTCAAGTGGTAGAGCACTCACCTTGAGCTGAAGAGCTGTCCCTCAGCTAATAGACCCTTGAAGGGTCTATTAGGACTCAAGCCTCTCCTACTTTTGCTTTCCAGTTACCAGGTCCAGAGTTATCCAGGCCCAGAGTTCAAGACCCATGACCAACAAAAAAAGGAAAAGGAAGAAAGAAATACAGGTGGGCAGAAGGAGCAGTGAAGGGAATAGAAAGGAATGCGTGATGGAGGGGAACCAGAATATCCTAGGCCAGATAGAAGACAAAGGCCTGGAGACAGGTTGCATTCTATTTTGGGTTTGATAGAAGGTAACAAGAACTCTTAAAGGGGAAACTGACATAATGATGCATAGAGCTTTTAAAGATTACTCTAGCTGCTCAAAAAGAAAAGAGGTTAGAGCTGGGAAGGTGGCTCAGTGGTAGAGTGCTTGCCTTGCAAGCACCACATAAGCAAAAAGAAAAAACCGGAAGTGGCACTGCGACTCAAGTGGTAGAGTGCTAGCCTTGAGCTGAAGAGCTGAGGGACAGCACCCAAGCCCAGAGTTCAGGCCCCACTGCTGGACCAAAAAAAAAAAAAAAAAAGAAAAGAAAAGAGGTTAGAGGTTCAGAAAACTGAAAGAAGAAACTCTTATTGGAAGCTTCCAGCATGGCATGGGCAGGGGAAAGGAGTGAAAACAGAAATGAAGAGAAGTAGATATACTTTAGGTTGATCTATTTAAGTTTGCAAATGGACTGGAAGTGATGGGTAAAAGACCGATGTAGAGATGGTGGAGATTCCTAAAAGCACTCTGGATTTCCAGGTGAGCTAGTGCCTACATAAGAATATTGTCATGGCATGGGTTGCAAATATAGTTACAGGCCTGTGGCACTACTGAGGGGTGACAGGAACTCTGGGAAGTGGGGCCAGACTGGATGAAGTTAGCACATGGGGGAGGGGGAGGGACTGGCCCTTGAAGGGTCTATTAGGACTCAAGCCTCTCCTCCTTTTGCTTTCCAGTTACCACAGGTGAGCAGCTGTTCAGGCCCCAAAGCAATAGAGCCAAGAGACCATGGCCTGAAACATCCACAAGATGGTAAAATATGTGAACAGGTTATTGGATGAATGAGGACGGTTAGCCGTGTGAGCTTCAGGGAAGTCAAAAGAAGAGATGAGGGGGCTGGGAAGGTGGCTCAGTGGTAGAGTGCTTGCCTTGCATGCATGAGGCCCTGGGTTCGATTCCTCAGCACCACATAAACAGAAAAGGCCGGAAATGGCTCAAGTGGTAGAGCACTAACCTTGAGCTGAAGAGCTGACAGAGCCCAGGCCCAGAGTTCAAGACCCACGACCAACCAAAAAAAAAAAAAGAGAGAGATGAAACATTTGCAATATCCATGGAAAGGTGGAAAAGAAGGCCAGCGGGGAGTCCGGTGAAAGCTGGAGGCTGAGAAGAAGATTCAGGGGGAACAACTTCCCTGAGGGAGGGGAATCACCGCAGGGTAAGGAACAGTTCAGGGAGGACTGCTGAAGGCGTGGGAGGCAGCGGAAGAGCTGCGTGTTTATAAGATGGGAGAGGAGTGTGTAATGGTTTGAACACTAAAATGTGGGAAGCGAGGGGAATGCCGCCCATGCACGGAGACTTCATGTTAAGTACAAAGCAAGGCCAATGTCAGAGAATCTAGGCTTCAGGAAAAATTTAAAGAGGAAGGGGAATGAAGGAAAGAATCACCAGAGAACCTAGAAAGTTCCTGGACAGGGATAAAAGTCTCATTAGAGAGATGAGTCAGGATTGCCATTTGCTTTGCATGGGATTTTCTCCATCAATGAAGGGAGAAGGTAGAGGTGAGGATTACCTCGGATGAGAGCATTTCCCAGACGAAAACACATCAGCAGACATGACCAGACATGTGCGGCGCTGGTGAACTGCACAGATCCTTAGGTATAAAGGAAGAAACTCCTAGGGAAGAGAAGGTATCAAGACAAAGTTCTTGTAGAGCTGAGCCTGGAACCAGGGGAAAGAGTTCTCCAGGCATAGACTTAAGAGTCAAATCAAGGCCCTCTGTGCAGAGAAGGGAAAATAGCAATTTCAGGGTCTAGAATTACAAGCAGTTCGGTGTCAAAGAAGCAAGAGAGAAAGTGAGGGAGGATCACAGGAGGAGGCTACAGAGGTCAAACGGCCTCTTCTAGCTGTTTCCATGGGACCTCAGAAACACTCAAAATATGCTAGATGCCAGCACCCATTCATGCTAGCATGAGTAATATGGACACACGAAAACCTAAAATGAGAGTTTAAATCCTATACTTTGGAGGAAACACATTCCTTCACACAAACAACAGACCCAGAGATCACACACGAGCAATTTCAGGTCACTAAATTCATTCTTCACTTGGAGATTTCACTGGAGAGACTATTTATTTGCCTTACCTCAGAGGACAAACACTAGCCTAGGAAGAGATTCTAAGGGTCTCACTCTCTTGCTGTCTACAAGTCAAAATATTAACTTCCAAACAAGGGAAGAAGTAAGAGGGGACAATATATCCACTCCTCCAGCTAAAACATTTTAATTAAAAATATTTTTTAAAGCTCCAAAATCATTATAGCTTTCCTTTCTTAAAAAAGTCTGTTTTGTAACTCTGGAACAGAGCCTAAAAGATTCTATTTAAGAACAAAATAACGAAGCAGCCACTAAGTGTTTTTGATAAGGCAATGTTGGCTGAGCAACAAGAATTGTTTTCTTCTTTTCCTCAAAATAGAATGAAGAGACCCAATGGAATCTT